ACCACATCTGTGGATTTCATTGATGGTTAACCTTTTTTATGTTATTGTTTTGTTCAGACTTACTGCTCGCTCCATAGAAGACTTTTTTTGTCGGTTTGCATGACAAATGCACTTCATTGGTGCAATAATTGTTTACTACTAGGTGACAAATTTTCTCTAACAATATCTCAAAGTGAGCTCTTAGTTTCCTAAGAGCTTTCTGTTGTATTATTTTACTGGAGTCTAAAGCCAAATAAGATATACAGAAGGGAAACTTATTTTCTTATCATCAAGGGGAAAAATAATTCTATACTTTTCACTTCTTACTGTTTCTCAGGATGTTGCAAAACTTGATTGATAATTTAATCAAAAATAATAAATGCCAAGGTTGAAAAGGTAAGTAAGTTACAAAGACAGCTTCATAATTTTGAAATAGATTTTGTGATGTATGTTTATATATACAAATGTTTAGTACTGTGCGTTTATTAGACAAGAATGGTTTTGGGTTATTAATTTGGTATTACAGTTTCTGTGCATGTGTCTCCCCTTTGTAACTCTCAGTTACTGTTATAAGAGTCGAATAGCACTCTGTGAAAAAGAAATTTTCAGTAACTGAAGCAGCGAATCAAGAATTTTTCTTAGGCAGGAATATGAAATACAAGAAGGAATCTGCGATATTTGAGATAAGCAGAATTTTTGAGATAATCTGGATGATAACGAGAAAAATAAAAAAGGGTTTTGACGTCTGATAAGTTAACATTAATAAGATGGCCACAGCAGGTGTTACGGGATGTAGGTAGGTGAAATAAGATTAAATGTTGATGTGTATGCTACCCAAGCAGTAGGTTAGTAGCTGAATTACTTTGACTTGTGGTGAGCAGAAGGTGGTAGGTATTTGAAAACAAACCGAAAAAAGTTGTATCATAGTTCACCTGTCGAGAATGAAAGCAGAAGGAAGGAAGACCTGCAAGAGGAGGTACTTGCTAAATAGGCAGTGGGAGGGCAACAGATAGTTTCACTCTTACAAGCTTAAAAGAATAATTGCACTGCTAAAAATGGGTTTTCCACTGTTTTGTGAGCTTTAATATAATTTTGTAGTGATGACAAGGATGAAATCCCTCTTCAAAAATTGGTTTTAATACTTTGTAAAGATGGGTAACTTTAGAACCTTTTTTTGAACTTGTTGCATGGTTTTCTGCTGTACATAAGTTGGAGTTGGATGACTATTATGCTAGCTAGCATTCATAAGCTGAATTATATTGGCTTTAATCTAGCATGGATCAGTGAGAAAATAGAGGTGGTTTGGAAAGGCTGCAGCAGGTGCAGTGCTTGTGTGCTCTTTCAGTTACTTTGACCTGCCATTTTAGGCACAGTTTGACAAATTGCCGTTGCTCGGACTTGATGCTTGTATTGACAAGGAGTCATTGTAGAATGAGATTTTAATGTGTTAAACAGCAATGGCACTAATAACTTTGTCAGTGTTAGCACATTAAGATAAAATTCACTTCAAGATTCAAAAGTAATATTCTATGTCACCATGTAAAGTTGTATTCAGATATAAACCTGATACTTGTATCACTGGAGAACAAAATTTGCAGTGTATGAAATATACCACTATTGGAGCTGTCTAAGCTTGTTTGAAAGACATGTTTGGGGTTTTCCTGTTTAAGTATTTTCCTCACAGATTTCAACTAGTAATGGATTTTATTAAATACAAGCCAGTTTGAGAAATACAAATCCAAGTTATATGTGTATCCCAGTCTTTTTTTTTTAATGGTTTTCCCCAAAATGGTATCAGTTATGTGGCATGTTATTTTGCCTCTCATTCTTAACAGAGTATTACTTTCAGGTACTCTTAAGACTGTGTGCTATTAATGAAGCAATACCTGGAAATTACAACCTGAATGTATCTGCAGGCCTCCAGGTGCTGTATTTACAAAGTGCAAGACAGGATTTTCTCCAGATTTCCTAGTGCAAATTGAGAAGAGCCATGACCTGGATTAAAATTTTTCTTCCTCATTTTGTACATGGGATCTGAGAATCAGAAAGGTCTGTGATGGACTCAGATCCACAGTGGCAGTTAAGATTTGAGCAAGATTTTTGTGAATATTGATAAGGTACCTTTAGTACAAGACCACAGAGACATTCAGCCACTTACTGGGCACCAGCTTTCATTTATCTGGCCACTATTTCTGAATCTTGAAGTGAATTCTATCTTAATGTGCTAACACTGACAAAGTTATTAGTGCCATTGCTGTTTAACACATTAAAATCTCATTCTACAATGACTCCTTGTCAATACAAGCACCAAGTCCGAGCAACGGCAATTTGTCAAATTTCCATGCTATCTGATATCCCATAGAACTTTGGTGGTTCCTTCAGTCTTTCTAAATATGTTAATTCTGACATTTTGCAAAAAAGGGACATTTATTAACATTTGTCTTTTAAAACATTTTTTTAGATTGGATCTGTCATCTTTAGCCCTATGGCATTGTTTCACACAGCACGTTTTGGAAGGAATAATTTTTCATTATTTCTTTACTCAAGTAAATATCAGCATAAATAAGCTATAGGTAGTGAAGGATAAGTAGGAGATAATTTCCTGTTTGAAGTGATCTTTCATTTTTGGTCAATCTCTGTTTTTCCCCTCACCTGACTATATTTGACCTGGATAATGTTTTTCAATTACTCTTATTGTTGTCTCCCCCATATCCAGGATACTTCCCTAATCATCCTGGGAACTGTTCAAAAGTATGCAGTGTTTTTCCTATAAGGAAATGACATGCCATTATATTTTACTTATCAACAATTATGTTAAATACTGTGAAAAATTAAAATTTGAAAATAAATAGTTAAATCTAAAGAACAGTTAGTCTTCCTATTGGTTTAATGGTCTCAGAAAAAAAGAACCAAGTGCAGTTCAGATTCTGGCTTGTAACTGGTACAGGCTTTGTGTAAAGTGGCCCATGGACCAATTTTACTGGTCCTGCTGATTTCTTAGTTTAAATATTGTAAGAGGTATTGACTCTGACTGAATTGAAGGTCATTAATTTTTGTCTTTTTTTAAAAAAAAACCCAACACATCCCCCTCCATCCCAACTCTAGGTAGTTTTAGTCAGCTCAAGTTGAAAAACTGAAGGAGTATTTCTCTCGATACTGAAAGTTTTACAGGTTTCAAACATAAAAAGCCAGTTACATAGAGTCAAAAACATTTTTTGAAAACTTCAGAAATGTAAGTTTCTTTTGGCAGAATTTGGAAGAAAGTCTCTTCAAAAGCATGTGCTTGTCTATTCTGCTTCCTTTGCTCATGTGCTTCGTGCATTTCAGCTTGGATTATTATAGACAAACACATTTGGGTGATATTTTGCCCCTTACGTGAACTTATGCTTCCTGTGTGAGATCATTACAGCTGAAGTGACTTGGTGGTGCTGCTGTTGTGTCTTCTTGGCTGTGGCTTCTGATGAGCTTTGTCATCTTCATTTTGCTGAGCAGAGGGTCTCATTATACGGTATAAATTGTGATTTTTATAGTTAGAGATTAAGCCTACAAATACCAATCTAATTTACCATCTCATTCTGTCCCCTTCCCCCTTTGATGATGTGACTGGACTTTGCAGGTATTTAGTTCCTGTGATGGATAAACTGAGGATGTAGTCTCCGGTACTTAAGCGAGGGGGATATTTATAGCACACACGTTTGCGCTGTTTATCTGCACAAGGGACATTGCAGGAAACGAAAGCTGTGGACCAAGGGTGTGGCAGTCAGAATATTACATAGTCCTCTGTGGATAAATTGGCTTTGAGAAAGGCAGCCAAAAGGGAGACTTAGCCTGGACCAAGTCTGAAACACAACAAACACAGAGCATTTTAGTACTGCATCATGAGGTTCTCATCTCTAAGATTTCGTGGGCTCCCCAGGATTGCCGCGCAGGAGGCAGGGGGCTCTGCCCTGCAGACCTCCGTGCTCTCCCTGTCTGCGGGGCCGCAGGGGGCGTGCACGTTGGCTCTGCGGACAGAGGTAGGGCAGTGTCTACGTGTTGCTATTGATTCAGTAAAACATTTTGGATTCCGGCTGAAAGATAAAGGATTTACAGATCATGAAATAGCACTGTTACAAATAGGTATGCTTTATTCTAAAAGTTATACCTAACTTAGATAAAACTCTTCCAAGCTCTCCTAGTGAAGAACAGTAGTTTAAAAAAAAACAAACCCGCAACAGTTACAAACTAAGATAGTTCTTGGTTTTTTAGAAACAAATCATTGAGATTTCCTTTCCAACAATACTTCTGAAGCACAGATAAAATGGCTTCCTGTCCCAGGGTTTCCTGTATCCATGGCAACCTGACTTTAACCACTTCTTTCTTAGTTTCCTGAGCAAACAGTTGCAAATCCTGGGGCAAAATGTGAGTGCTCTGTTACACGGCAATGCTGCCCTTACAGAGGTTTCACAGATGAATATAGTCGGTCAGCTTGTAACTTAGTCCAAAGAACTACAAAATGGCAAAATAACAGAAATAATGGACTTCAGATTTGGGGTAAGAAATCGCTTTTATTTATTTTGAATGTAACTTAGCTTTTTGAAAGTAAAATTCAAATTATAAATGAGCTGCCAGTGAAAGGAAACTTCTTTCCAGTTGGCATTTCTACTTGAATGCTACTGAAACATATCCTAGTCATTCTTAACTATAGCAAATAGTTAATAAGCAGTATTTTGAATTTGCTAGAAGCTGTTATTTTGGCAGCTTAGTTGCTTTTATGCTGTAACCAATTAAACATTGTCAGCCTAGGTTGGCAGTACATTTGTTTCATTGTTCATTTACTTTGAAAATTTTTTCAGTATAGTTCAAACTTACTAAGTATAAGTTTTATTTTTAAACTGCTTATTTGGCATCAAAGGAGAGTACATAAAACACCAATCTTGAAAGCAAGGCTTACATTTTAAAGACTGTACACATAGAATCTTCAAACTTTTGAATTAATAATATTTATAAATTTCTTTTTATCTCTACTAGTGAAGTCAGAGATGAGTGAGAAGGCCAAAGACAGGGATATGTGTGGTCTGCAAAGTTCTCCACCCTGCCCGGGAGCATTTCTGTATATCCTTAATTGTTTTCTTTTGTTGCTGCTCCAGAAGGAGTCTCTTGGCTGTCCAGCTGCTTGCCAGCTCTGCACAGGGAGACAAGTTAGCTGTCGTGATTTAGGGCTTTTGAGCATCCCACGGAACCTTCCAAAAACGACCATTCTTGTGTACCTCAGTGGGAATAATATATCGCGTGTCACTCCAAATGAGCTAAGAGGCCTTCAGAAGCTTGCTGCGCTCTACATGGATAACTCTGGTATTTCGTATGTACACCCAAAAGCTTTTGTGGAACTCCCCAAGCTGTGCTACTTGCATCTAAATAACAATAATATTAAACGCTTGGATCCGGGAATCTTCGAAGGCCTTTCCAATCTTCATTGTTTATACCTTCAGAATAATCAAATAGCTTTTGTTCCCAGAGGATTATTTAGTGATCTCCTTTCTGTTAGATATTTAACACTTCAAAGAAATCGTCTCAGTGTCCTTGGAAGTGAGACTTTCTTGGGAATGATGAGCCTCCAAACACTTAACCTAGCCAATAATAAGATTTCACGGATATCAGATTCAGCATTTCGTCATCTTGAAAACCTTGCATATTTGTTCCTTGAAGGTAACAATTTAACACTTGTGCCATCAAATGCTATTGGAAGGCTCAAAAATCTTGAAAGACTTTCTTTGTCTCACAACCCCATTGGATCAATACATTCTTTTGCATTTAAAGGACTTAACAAGCTTAGATACCTGTCTTTAAAAAATGTAAAGCTAAAATGTATTGCTGTAAATGGATTTTTTGGATTGAACAACCTCAGCCAGTTAATATTAAGTTATAATGATTTAGAAAATATAAATTCCAGCACTTTTACTGTATTGAACAATTTAATGTATCTGCAACTAGACAGAAATAAAATAACCAGTATTGGTGATGGTACCTTTGAAAAAATGGGGCAAACACTTAAAATACTCAGTTTAGCATTTAATAATATTACAGAGTTACAACCTGAAGTGCTCAAGCCCTTAGTGTCTTTAACTCACCTACAGGTAAATTATAACCCTTGGAACTGCAGCTGCAAAATGCTTGGGTTACTTAACTGGCTAGCATCATCTCCTATTTCTGTAAAAATTCACTGTCTGAATCCCCTCAGTATGCGTGGTCGACCTCTGCATTACATTAAGTGGGCTCAGTTTGCAAACTGCCGTAGCCCTACTGCCAGCCCAGAAGCAGCCTGGAGTCAAGGGTCTGCAGGTGTCCCTCACAGTGCTACCACTTTGCTGATGGCGTGGCACAAGGGAAACAAGCACAGCACACTTGAACAGCTTGAACAGTTTGTCAACGCAGAAACTAAATATGTTGCTTTCAGGGAAGGAACTACAACTGCATCTGCTAACCCGTTGCCCTATGATGAAAATGCTGCTCAAACTCCATCAGAGCCAGCTACAGTGTTAACAACATTACCAGTGCAAATACCAGCACAGGTTATACCTGTAAACAGAACTGTAGAAGAGAAAGGTTTATTTCCAACAGGTGCTGCTCCTGTATCATTAAAAACATCCTTGCTTTGTACACAACAGGTTGAAAAGCTGAGTCAGGCTTTTGACATTTTACTAGCCTTTTTCATTCTGGCTTGTGGTGTGATCCTGTTCTTAACCTGTAAAATTATTCAGTTTAGACAGAAACTAAAGGTGCTGGAAAACTCAGGGGAAAAGAGAATAGAATATTATGGCTTCTATCAGCCTGGCAGATACAACATAACTGACCCAGTGCAGTCTCTAACTCGGAATTCGGTGGGGCGTTCAGAACTGGACCAAATCAGGCTGCTCAAGCGAACAGCGTCTGAAAGTCAGGCACAGGTCATACTGTTTGAACACTCATCACTGTAATTTATCTCATTTGATTTGTTAACTTTATTGTGATCTGAAATGCCAGGAAATCAAGAACTCAATTTTCGAAAAATATTTTCACTGATTAAAATCAACTGATTGATAGAATTGTGGAAAATGGTATAATTTGGGTTCTGCATCATCACTTGCTTCCTATTTTTTGAAGTTTATTGATTTTTATTATATGTCATTCAAATCTGACATGGATAGGTATATTATCCTCTGTCCCTATTGTAGGGATCTTTCACCTATAACTCAATTATATGTGCAGTATAAAGTACACATGTATTTATTTTTATTTGCAGTACTTACTGGAATAAGTTTCTATAGAAATTCCATGGCTAACTTGAAGATTGCAGCAAGCAAAACATCAGTTTTTAGCAGGATCATGAAGCCAAGAAATCTGGGGGAATAAGGAAAAAAACCAATGCTTTAATTATTGTAATGCAGTTTCTTCTCTGCCTCTTAATGATCACAGTGTGGGAAAAAAGCAAGAATATTTACATCTAGCATGTTCAAACTCTCAAGGAAAAGAAAAATTTAAAGTAATACAAACTTTATTCATATCTGTGACATTTTAATATACAACATTATGTATTCACTCTGTATAATATATTAAAGTGAATTTTTTGTGAGTGTGTATCTGTATCATTTTATAATAATATCTGAAACTGGAGTTAATAGGGAAACTAATTTTCTGTTGCATTGAAAAATTGACCAAGTTTATTATGGCTAAGGTAATACACCTGGTTAATTATTATCAACAAAAGATATTTTGTCATCTGTGTAGTTATAGTTTGAGGGAGTTTTTGGCTAGATAAGACGTATAAACTGAAGAAATATGCTACACTTTAAATACATAATTCTAGATTAATTGCTGAAGATATTTACATATTTGTGGTATATATTTGGAAGTGTTAGGTCAAAGTACATTTTTGTAGTGAAGACCTAACATTAGGCTTCATCTTCAGAAGACAGATATTATTTTACTATGTAGTTTGCATTTGTTTTAACTTTTTATTTCTATTGTGAATACTGATGTTCTGTTTACATTACTGTCAGGTTATGTCTAGTGTGTTGTAGCTTTATTTTCAACCTGAATTTCTGTGATTTTTTTTTTTTCTCATTGTTACACCACTAATTCAAACTTTATTCAGGAAAAAGTCATAAAAATATGTTCCAAATAGTCCAATCTTGTAAAATTTTCAGCTAGGTGAATAGGACTTACTTTTGTACATACTCTGTGCCCTGGAGACACTTCAGCCACTTGGTTTATAAGCAACACAATTTACAGTTGGATCGTTTTGCTCAAGGAAAAATAGAGAGCAATGTGTTGATAGCCTGTCCTCCATGGCGTCGACTGAAGTTGTGTAGAAGTGTCTTGCTGTTCCAGGATCCAGCCTGGAGACCAGCGCATTCCCCAGATGAACCATAACTGCCCTCACAGTTCTTGTTGTAGCCATGTAACTCTTGTTCTGCTGATGTAACTAGCGTGCCTGGCCATGTTCTGCTGCTCCCTATTGTCCTGTTTGTCCGTCTCCAGTTCATTTGCAGGAATTACACACATCAGCTGCTACCAGTACATGGATAGACCTTGACTGCAGTGTGTGGCTGTGAATGTGCAAGTGTGGCTCTGTTGTTGCTTGTTATCCGTGTCTCTTGAATGTGATGAAATGCCAATTTACTATGTTGTAGTACTATATTTTACTGTAATTTATTGTATAATAGATCAAATACTTTTATGGAACACTTAATTCGGCTACTTGGGCAAAAGCTTAAACTATTTTGGATCTTTTGAGTAGAAACTTCAATTTTCTACTTGTAGATCAGATGTTAAATGTAATGAGTAAATGTTTTTTAAAGAGGGAAAACATTGACTAATTCATGCTTAATTTTTTTTAGGTGGCTAATTCATTATGGTCTCTTCCTCTTTAACCCATTTGTGGTTTTTTTTCTGTCACTCCTACATAATTCTTCATGATTAGTGTTTGTTTTCATTTAACAGTTGCACAATTGGTGATTGCACAGTAATTAGTTCTGCAGTTTTATGTGCTATATTTCTAATCTTTCAATTTTCTATGGACACCCTCAGAAATAATGGACTTAAAATTCAGTGGAAGCTAGTTAAGTTTTCATTGCTATAAATGCCGCTGTGCCTTTGTTAGAGGAGGAGACTGGGCAAAGATTGAGACTGAACAAACCCAATTCTTGAAGAAATCAGACAAGCGACAGCTCTTGTTTTAGGCTCTGATTTCCACAGCTGCTCTCTACTGAAGAGCACGAGAGGTTCCCTCTGAATGCGTGTCCTTTCCACTGACAATCTGCTGTAGGAGTTGGTTTTGCCAGGCATGAGTCTCACCATCTGGAGTGATGGAGAATGAAAGGGAACCGATGCTGTCAGAGCTGTTTGTGCAAGCAAGGAGTTGGGGCAGTTGGAAACCATCCTTTGGAGTGGAGTCATCCTCAAATATCCAGCTTGCCAACAATTCGAATTAGACTAACAAGAAATTGAGAGATTCATTATGCATTTGTGGGGGAAATACCTTTCGTTTGCAGTTAGTAGCTTTTGTATTTAATTGTTCACACTAGGAAACAGATCCTTTCATGCACAGGTGTGATTCACACATCTAACTTGTAATCGTTAAAGAATACATTGGAAGACTTAGCTGAGTCTGCCCTCATGAAGTAAAATGGCATTTTATGGTCATTAAGTTTGTGGTCAGCCATAGGACTCCCCTGGAAGTGATGTTTTAGCTGCGGCATGACTGTTTTATGAGCTCCTTAGCACTGTCCAGCTGCTACCGTGGGGGATGTGTGCGTGGAATAATCATTTACATTGCTCACAGTATGTGCAAAATTACATCCATTTGTCCCATTCCACCTCTTTCCTTGGCTAATGAGATAAGAATAAAGAATTAATTAATCTTTCTGAAATCTACTATACACTAGTAAAGACAGGAAATTAAGCTTTTCCTTTTTTTGGTGTTTACTGCTTCATCCTGGTGAATGCGGAAGAGTGGAAAAGATTTTCTTTTCTTCCTTTTAATTGCTAAAAAACTATGTTTTCCTATAGCAGACATGGGGACCATTTTATTTAAGTACCCTTAAAAATTGAGCATGATACATGTTTTATTAAGCTGATGATAAAGGTTTATTTACAGTGGCTATGTATGTAATTGAAATCCAAATTCTAAATTTTGCGTAAAACCTCAGGATAAAAAAAAAAAAGTTGAATAGGTACCTGAGTATTAGAAATGATAGACAGAATGAGAAAAAACAAATACAACTTTTTTCAGAACAGATATGGTCTGGTTTTTCCCTTTACAAAGCTTTTATTCGTCTGACAACTTATGTAAACTTTGAAATAAAAGGTTTGAGATTATTCACGTACAAGCTCCCCTAAATGTTTGTTACATTTTGTTTTTATTATAGGCAAGGTAAGTTTTATTTACAGACAGCATAAAAGATCCTTTCTGTAATAACAAATGACATTAATATGTGTTAATTGCATCTTTGAAACTGGAATATTTTAGATCCTGACAAGTTTATAGAAGTTATTAATCCTCTAATTCTCGGCCTGTCTTTTGATATTTTTGCTTTATACCAAATGAGGTTTTCTCTCAATAACTTAAGGAAACTGGGTAGTTATAAAAGCACTAACAACTTGATGCTGCTGTTTGCTCCATTGCTGATCTGGATTACCTACAGTTCAAGGGGGAAAATGCTTAAATGGTGCCTTTCTCCCAAGTTAAGATTTTAGTATGGACAGTATTAGCTGTTCCATTTTGAAAGTTCATCTAAATACAAGATCCCAGTCTTTTCTCAATCTACTCATATGACGTTATAATGTATTTCTTGAAATAAGCAGGCTAATTTTAGTCTATTTAAAAAGGTATTACATTGATTTGCATGGCACACTCTCTCTCTTCTATGAAAATAAGGCCTAATGCATTTTGTATTGCCATTGAACTTTAATTGTTTCTTTTTTTCAAAGCACAAGGAGCCTATGCTGTCTTTATTTTTCACCAGCATGTGTCTTGTGTTCTAAAAATAGTTGCATTGTTTAGTGATTCCATACTTGGTAAACATTTCAGTGAATCTTTGGTAGGAAGAAACATCATGTTCCATTTAAAGGGAAAAGAAGAAGGGGGAGAAAAGAGAAGGTATTATCTTTACTGAAAGCTGCAGACAACAGTCACCCCATTTTGAAAGGTTTTCTACATTCTTTAGCTTTGCTTTCTTCAAAAAAGAAAAATTGCAATGAGTTTTCTATCTTTCACTGAAGAAAGAAGTAAAATATAATTCCTCATTTATGCCATAAAGTAAAAATACCCTCTCCAAGAAAGAAACTAATGATTTCTTTATGCGCTTTGGAGCTAACTATCAACAACAGTATTTTGGGTCTTTAACCACTATCCTCAATTTCTTCTGGAAATATCACAGATCCTTGGAAGCACAAGTTACTGAAACGTGGGCTCTTCCTATCAGTGTGCGAACTTGCAAAAAACCCATGAAGTTAATGAGCAGTATGCCTACAGTATTTATGTACATGTTGGTTAATTAAAGTAACCTCCCTGAATAGATTGACCATAATTAGCCTTGCAGCTGATGAAAAGGCTATGCCTTCATTGGGTCAAATACCTTTCTCTTCCCTCCGAATATAAAATTTTGGTGGCTGTTAGGGATTCTTCATGCAGCTTGGAAAGAAGAAATAGAACTACCAGGTAGTGGATAGCAATCTGTATTAAGTAAATAGTGCATACGTAGAGGGCATGATTTAGTTCTCCAGGGTGTAAAGTGTTTGCATTTGTTCTCAGTTGACTGTTCCATGTCCTCTACTGACATGAATCTGAGGAGAGCTGTTTCCTTTCTCATGTTGGAAAATATTAACCACATTAATGATATTTGCCTAGAGATGTGTTTCAAAAAAAGTATGAGGCAGAACAGCTTTAATGGGAGGTGTGCTAGGTAGGAACCTCTGGCTGAAGTGAAGAAACCTGCTCTGTCTGCCTGGGCTCATTCTGCCGGCTGCTAAGCAGGCACCGCTCCCTTTCTCAGCAGTGCTGTGTGCTTGGCAGGCTGTTTGCTTGCTGTCTGCAGGACTCCCAGAGATTCAGTCTTGCAACATGTAATATTTTGCTGTTCTGAATGAGATTGGGAAGCTTTTTGGCAAGGGAGAAAGTCTCTTTTAAAATATATACTTGACGATAATAAGAATAAGCAAGACCAGATTAAAATTGTGCCAATTTTCATTTTGTGGAATTTAGGACTTTCAAATTTGATTATGTAAAATGCAGTTCAGATCCTGGCATTCGACAGTAGCTGAATAAAAAAGGGAACAAAAATAATCCTTTGGAAACTGGAAACAAAATGATGACTTGTATCGTAATCTTTTCAAAACAAATTTAAAAGAAATATTTTATATGCTTATTATTCTAACTTGATATGCATTTTTTCCAGAGCATCCATTGCTATATAAAGGTTTTTTTATCCTATAGGTCAAGTTTTATTGTATGTCTGACAAGAAGTTTTTGAAATGCAATAGCTAATGTACAAGGAGCTACAGTTTATCCAGTTCTTCAGTTTTCATCCCATATAAGAAAAGGAAATGAACAAATATTAAGAAACAGATTTGTCTACTTTAAAACATAAAGGATCAAATGACAATACATGAACTTAACATTCAGTATTAAAAAAATACAGTACATGTCGGCTTCTGCCTACTAGACAGCAGCGGCATCTTTTGGGGGAAAACTAAGCCTGAAATTCCAAACAGGGAGTAACAAAATGCTTCAGTCAATGACAGTCCCAGCAAAGGAGTTGTAGTTTACCATCACCAGTTAGGCCATTTCTGTTTCTTTGCTGCTTGTAGTTGGAACTTTTGCAGTCTTCCCAAGATGAACATCTTTTCACTTGCAGTATATCTTCACCTTTTTGTGGTTCAGAGTAGGAGTCTATGCACTGCAGTCCCACAATAGGACATTTCTGGCATTAGACCCACAGTAACAGGAAATTCAGCAGAAACAGCAGTCACAGCTGCTCTCCATTAACTAGGAGCTGGTGGCACCTACTTTATCCACCATGGGGAGATCATGTTTCTATGCCCTTACCCTACACACACATCAATTCTCAAAGCAGGGGCAAGTGTCTAAACATAGTTTGTGTCATTTTGGGCATTGCAGGGGAGTATCCAGTGGCCTTCAGCTCATGCTGGGGAAGGGTGCTTATCTCAAGTGACCTGAGCGATACCTACCAGCCCTTTGCAGTTGTCTTAAATAGCCTAGTGTTTCAAATGGCAAGAGGTGCCTGCATTTAAGCAGAGAAATCTTACCCTATCTCTCTATAGTCAGGGAAGTGGTGTTCCTGTAGAACTGGGTGCAGATATTTTTCACCCTCTATGGGGAGTCATTCAGCTGCCTAGGAGAGTGAAGAAATAAGGCTGGACTAAGAGAATAGGGGAGTCTACCATCCTTACAAGATGCCCTTTGCTCAAGGGTTTGTATGTAGATTTTTACATTGAATAGCGATGCGAGAAAATGTGTAAATGTGTTAGGAACAGAAGCTAGTATTCTGACGTCCCTGCTAGCAGGAACATGCCCTCCCCACTCAGCTCCTGAGTCCTGTGCTAATGTATTTTTTCTTTTATTCCATTTGCAATTATTTCTAGGTTTTCAACAGTGGCATATGAGGTTTTATTCTATTTAAGCATAATGTTTCTTGCATATTTTAAGCCTTTGTGAAATTAAAAATATATTGAATTAGCTGCTTGATAGTATGCTCAGCTAAGCACTAAGCAATGAAAATACTGCTTAGTAAAAGTGCTTTACAGTTATTGAGCAAATTTCCTGTTTAGTTCCTTTAGCTAAGTCACTTTCCTGTTCTTTTCCAGTGTTATCTAAGATAAATTTTGTTCTTTTTCCAGTGTTATCCAAGATAAATTTTGTGGTATCATCAACATTTCAGTGGAAGGGTTGCATGATGTTATGACCGAAGATCCTGAAACAGGAACATACAAAGAGTAAGTGGAAAATTAATTAATTTTTGTGGGTTTAACTGTAGTAGTACTGTTTTATATGTAGTGTTTTGATTGGAAAAATCTGTAGGCAGTTAAGACATGCTTGTAAGAGTTCTGTTTTCACAAGAGGAAGTGTTTTAGTAAGATAAGAAATTTTTGGTCTTTAATTGTCATGGAGGGAGGGCCCAGAATGATGGTCTGTATAATTTTATATTGTTCATTAAGTTATCTACTAAATGATGTCTTAGAATGTCCATAGCTTAGATTTACGTTTTGCTCACTTGACTATTATATCTAAAATTGCAATCCAACAAACTTGTGTGTTGATAGGCTGGTAGCTCAGAGTTTCTCTGAGTGTAACATCTGGAGTTTAACCAAGATCTTTTCCTAAATGTCTCAGCCTTGTTGAGTGCACCTAGGGTACAATACTTCGTGGCCTGGAGAACTTGAGAATCTATCCCACAAGGACACTTCTTCAGTTACTCCTCTTAGCATATCTGGTGCTACAGGGCATACCTCAAAAGGCAGTTTCCAGAACTGGGAGAAAGAGTTTGTTTGTGGCAGGAAGGTGGTGGCAAGGGTGCTGAGAGTGCACTGCACAATGCTCATTGATCTCCTTCTGACTCCCAGGTTACTGCTGGTATTCTGTCAAAGCTAGAAAAGTGGGAAAAAAAACCCCACTGAATAATATGGATTTTTTTTTTAGGACAGAGATCTTAATGTTGTCTTTTTTTTTTCCCCTGTAATAACTACATACTTTCAGAATGATAGACAGTTGTAAAGATGTTAAAAACAGGTGCTCTGCAAGATGTCCCTACAGACACTATATTCTAATAACAGTATTTACTAGATACTAGAATCAAACATTTTCTAACCTTCTGATAATTAACCTGGTAATGGAACAGACTGTATCTGAAGTAAATAATTAATTACTTATGGGGATGTTTGCTGGCACTGAAGCCAGCTGGCACAGAGCAGCCTGCATGTAATCTATTAAGTTTTCCTCCACTTAAAACAGGTGGTACGCACACAAGTGTGCACTGATAATGGTCCACACTCACACTGAGCTTGACCTGTGCCCAAGAATTGCTTGCAAAAGTGTTTTTTTGTTTTTTCCTAACTCTCAGTGTAGAGGCCATAACTCCAAAGTCTGGGAATGTGCTTTGGCACTGTGTTTTATTTACTATCTGAGACAACGTCTATTTCTAAACATGTTGCTTTGCCAGCACTTGTTGAAAAGAGTTCTCACAGAGAAATAAATAAAACTTTGCCCTAGTTCATTTTATATTTCAACCTTGAAGTCTTGTAGAACTTGTCACTGTACTTTTCCAAACTCTGGACATTGTCTTTGCTTTATAAAATATAGGCATACTGAACCAAGGACATATTTCTGTTGACAGATACTGAATGGGCTGTTTGAAAGATTCTGACATTTGTGTTACAGATTTTTGACATCATCTGAAAGTAAATAAAGTGAGAGCATTCATCTGGAGTCATGTGCGCTATTCCAACTCTCCAGGTTGAAGAAGAATGAACTAGTTCAGAAAAAAAATGGCGTACTCCACTGATTATTATGATATCTAATTGCTGTAGTGCAGAGACTAAAACAATGTGCATGTTTAGCATAGGAAAATGAAGGCTGAAGCAATATAGAACTGCAGCCACTAAAGGATGAAGAGGGGATCAACATGCATAGGGACAACAGAAAAAATTAGGTAACAGTGTTGGCTTAAGTGTTAAGCTGGCAATGAATAAATTCAAAGTGGAAGTTTTGAAGAAACTGCTGTAGTTAAAGCAATAAGATTTTGGAAGAGCCTTTCCGATACAAATGCAGAGAAAAAGGTCTTACCAGGTTTTAGATGGAATTTTAATCAGGTTATGATCAGATGATTACACAGTGCCCTGGCTTACAATAACAAGGGATTGCAGTCAGCCAGGTTTCCTAGTGTTTATGTGTTGTGTTGTAGTGATAATTACAAGAAAGCTTTGCAGACCTCATATTTTCTGGAAAGGGGAGCATTCTCTTGTTCTAGTCATGTCTCAGCAATATTCACTTTTTTTTTCAGCTTTATCATTTTCTCTTTTATTCCCTCCTCTCCTAGTTTTTTGAGTTACGCTTTGTGGTACCTAAAATTTATCAAGGTCTGAAAAAGTTAATTCAATCTTGTATGTTTGGCAATTGACATATTTTTGTCTCCTTTAATAAACTGTGTTGCAAGAAATCATTTATGAGAAGAGGCATGGGATTTGCTGTATTATTTTGAAATAACTAATCTCTTTGTTGGAAGTGGCTTCTGTGTTAGCATTTGACTCCTTTGCCATGCTGTTTAGCAAGTGTTTCATACAGCTCTAAACACATTAATAGAAAACTGAATATATAAACAGACTAAGTTTGAACATTTTCACATAAAATCACAACTTTTTTCATTTTAGTAACTTTAAAGCAAGTTATTCAACTTACCTGCAGGAACATTTCACTTGCTAGTGGAATGCAGCAATTAAAAATGCACGGTAGTGCCGGGCTGAAAATGAGCAATGATGTGCATCTGTCTTGGTGCTTTGTAATATGTGGATTATGTGTCCTTGCTGTCATAAGATATACCTAATACACGGTGGCAAGTTGTTGACACCTGAGTGACTTTTAAATCCTTTGGGTTTTTAAAGCAGACTTTCTAGGAAAAGTTTGGTAAAGTGGTGGACTATTTGTGTATTCTTTCAACATAGAGAATGTAAAGTGAACAGAACACATGTTTTGCTATAGGATAACTTTCACCATTGTCTTTATAAAGCCCATTCAAACTGTTTCAAGAGACAAAAAAAATCTCTGGCATTTTAACTAAGTTTTTTTAATACATTTTCTGGTTTTATACTTACTGCAAAAATAGTAGTTAAAATATAGCTCTTATTTGTGCATATTGGTACCTAATACTTGAGGGTAGAGCAAAACAAAAAATAAGTTTAAAAACTGCTTTACCTGCCTAGAAAAAACCCTTTAAATAAACGACTACAGAAGCTAACTCATTTCTGTCTACCTAAAACATTATTGTTCAATGTCTTGCAGATTTTTGTTTGTAGAACCAAATAGCAGTGACCATACTGGTTTTCAGGTTCTCTTGTTAAAAATCTCACAGGAAAACATGAATGCAATGAGAAATCTTTGCTAGTTTTGCATATATGGCACTTTGATTTTCATCTTGAGAGGATACAGAGTGCTTGTATAGCACTTCCTTGGACAGATTAGAAAATTCTAGTTAGGAACTATAGATTTTTCTATATTAATTTTCTTAAGCCCACATAATCTGTTTTCTGTATGCAGAAATACATTTTTAATCCAGAACTTTAGCTAAAATTTGGAGGATAACTGAGATTGTTACATGGGTATAGGTAACACAGAACATGCATTCAGGCTTCTTTATATTCAGCGTTCTCAAAAAAAAAAAACCACACCCCCAAAAAAAACTTGCTAGCATAGATTGTCTGACTTTCATCAAACTCCCTTATATCCGTCCTGTGTTTTTAAAAGTGATTTAAAATAATTTTTAATTATAACGTATGTTAAAACTATTCTTATTCCCCTTCTTAGCTGCATGTTAATGTCTCATTTTGAAGAGCCCAAAGTTACAGAAGATGAGGAACCTCCCACAGAACAAGACAAAAGAAAAAAAATGGTAAGTTTTAGATCTGTTATTCAATTATAGAACTGATTATGTGATTCATTTGTGTCAGACTAAATTCTTTGCCTTTGGATTTGGTTCATCTATTCTTCTTGGAAGAGTCATCTACTGAATTAAAAAATGAAAATGCTTTGATGACAAACTTTGCAGCCACAACACTTATGCTTCTGCTTTCCTTCTGAGTCTTGGAAATTGTTGCCAAACTAAACATCATCTGTTCACAAAATCTGGACATTATAATACTAAGACACTATGAAAAGGTTTATTGAAAAACACAGGGAGCTAAAGCTTACCAAAGTGTCATGGCAGGACAAATTTCTCATTTAGAACAATCTTTATTAGATTATGTATTCTACCTGAACAACTGTTGATTCATATTCTTGCATAGAACCTTTTTCTAATGTAAAGAACTCTTCATAAGGAGCACTGATTTAGATGAAATTAGGATTAGGTACAATGCAATTGTGCTATTTTTGTCCAACCTAATCCTTGAATGTGTCATAGTTTAACTAATTTTTGCAGGAGTTCAGGGAAACTGGTTCCTGACACAGAAAACTGCAATGTGCAAGTGCTGTGAAATAAATTAGAGTCTGAGTTGCTTGGCGTTGAGTAATTGCAAAACATGGAATTGGGTGACTGAGTAGGTGTGTGTAGCCCTGTCACACATTTGCTTTAAATGATCTGCATGTATCCAAAAGAATATTTGTGGACAGTACTTTAGTACTTTATTTCTTCATGTAGCAGAGGAAAAGAGTTTGGATCGCTTTTGACAGTTTGTTTTAATTTGGGGTTTATTTCAAAATGATGAAGGTCATTTGGGTAGGTCACTAGTGGTAGAAGTGTCAAATAATAGCCAGGACTGTTAATCCTGGCTTTGAAAGCACAGCTAGCATTTGATTTGAAAAACTGGATTAAAAACAAAACATCACCTATGTTCATTCTTACCCACCTGTACTGGAAGTTTCTTCCTCTCTGTAGGAGCATCAGTGCACACACTCAATTCATGTGACATAGAACAACTGCAGTAGCAGATACCTCCTCTGGTGAAACAAAAGTGTGAACAAATATTTGAAGTGAGAAGAGGAAAATCAAGAACAATCTAAAGGGAATCTGCAATTGATTTAAGGGTTTCTGGTCTCCTGTCTGACTTTATTCCTGCAAGAGGTTTCTACCCTGTTATGTATTTCATCGCTGAATCAGCAGCTTGTATCAGGGTTTAGAGCTTAAACCTCATAAAACAATAATGCAAAGATAAATGGGATCCTCTCTTTCACAATAATAATGGTTTGCAACTTTTAAGGCTATTAATACGAGAAAACAAAGTAAACTGGCATGGTCCGTGCTCAGTAGCACTTCCCAATGTTTGCACAGGGTCTAGATATTTTTATTTAATCTATCACATTATCCTGTCATTGGTACCTCTTTTTATTATTATGCATATGCCATGGTTCAGCCACAGCTGGCAGCTGAGCACCACATGCTGCTTGCTCACCACTCCCGCCAGGGCGGGATGGGGAGGAGAACGGGAAAACAACGGCAAAGCCTCGAGGGTTGGGATGGGGACAGGTTACTGGGACAGCAAGGGAGAGGGAAACACTCAACACCAGTACTGGTAACGGAATGTTCACAATGGGTGACAACAGAAAGCAATTTACCCATCTGACAACTGACTGACTGACTGGATGCTCAGCTGGTGTGCCGAACCCGCCCCTCCCCGAATAGCACCTTTCATGGCGAGCGTGATGTCACATGGCATGGAATAGCCCCCAACCAGCTTGGCTCACCTGTCCTGGCTCCTGGTGAAAATTAGCTCTGTCCTGGCCAGGACAGCATAGCTGATGATTACTAAAGAGAGTTTTAGCTAGAACAGTGCTTTATAAGTTTACGATAATTTTTATGTAATTGACATTTCCAGATACTGCTGTATTTTAGTCTCATTGCAAATATATTGAGGAAAGTGTAAATAGGTGGAGAGTGATTCATGACCTTGCATTGCACAAAGTGTATAGACTTCAGGTGACTTATTTTTATGTGCCCTTAGCGTATGTTTTTAAGAACTCCAGTATCATTGTCCAGAAAGGGAGTTAAGCTTTTCCAACTCTACTTGAAACTGTGGAGAGGAAAAATGAAGACTTTTTTATTGGAAGATAATAAAAATCTATCGTATTTAAATTTGAATTTCCATGCTGGTACATGTTTTAGTAATGCTTATATGTAAGTATAGAAGGCTTGGGAGTTTTTTTTATTTTACCCTGGTATGGGAAGAAACTAGATGAATTATGATTTCATATCTTCACAAAAATAAATGAGCTACAATGTAATAAGCCAAATTATCAAGTTTTATGTGATAAAGTGGTTTACCAATAGTAGTACTTCATTGTTTGAGGTATAATTTCTCCTTATACATTTAGTCTGCAAATTAGCCACAGATCTAATGTGAGCCCCACTGAAATCTGTTAAAACCTTTGGTATTAGGAGCCTGTCTGACTCCATTTTATAATCATTGTTAATAGTAAAATATACATTCCTTCCTTCAGTTTTTTCCCAGTCTTTCCCGGAGTATCACAGTCACGAGATACTAACCATCATGATAATTACGTATAATTTTATGTCCCACATTCTTGCTCCCTCTTTAGTATCAAAGAATCCATACTTAAACTGAAGAGAATCTCTCAAGTTCTGGAACTCTTTCAAGTTCTTGAAAATCTTTTCAATGATTTAATTCAGATATCACCAACACACTCCTGAGTTTTATTAGACTTTTACTACCTGTTCTTGTGTTCTAATGCCATTACATTGGCTTATGTTGTTGATTGTTGTGATTAGATCACAGGTTTAGTACAGAATAATATATAATTGTGTATTGAAAACAGTGTGATTTTTTTTTTTTTTTTTTTACTGTAATGCTGAGGAAAGATCCACCTGTCAAATACTGGTTCAAACAACTGCAGAATGCCATTGATGTTGGCAAGCAGAGTTGGGAGGGATGGGAAATGATTGTTCTGTAAAACCTCTATACTGCTTCTCTGATTCAAACTGCTGTTTACAACCAGTGAGGCGGAAGATTAGTTTCTTCAGTCCACCCTCGCCCACCCCTCCCCCAAGATAATCACCCATGTCCAGTTTCAAGATCAGTTTGTAAAGTAACTAGATTCAAAAGCTACTCGAATCAGATTTTCACTGAGCAGCGTAAAGCACATTTCAATAATGTCTATTTCCTCACTAAACTTCTGTTTCCTGTCTGAGGCTGTTTTGACTAAGAAACTGGTGGAATTTTCTAGGATTTTTTTTTAAAGTGGAAAATACATGTATTTTGCTCTTACCAGACTCAGGAGCATTTCAGTCAAAACAAAACAAAAATCCAAAAAAACCCAACAAACCCAAAACCAAACAACCCACAAAAAACCCAGAAACAAACAAAAACCCCCCCAAAACCCCAAAACACAACAAAAACCACACTCTGGCCACACATGTAGGAATTCAGCATACATACTTACATTCAAAAATATAGTCCCTGACCCAGTGTTTACAGACTCAGTAGCCAGTGTTAATACTGATATGGTTGTGTTCTGTGCTGGACTGATGTTGGATGCTCAGTGCTTAGCAAGCTGGAGGCTCAATTTTCAAGAGGATGATTTTTCCTCCAAAAAGCAAATAGAATAATCTGAAAAGATCTTATGGGTCTTATCTTAAACCAGATATTATTTTAATTTTATCATAAGGAAAATGCAATGAATAAAAACAGGGCTTACTGTTCTTCCAAACCTATGATTTTGCTTGCTTATTCAGCAAAGACTGCAGCTGATTGTGTAATATTGTCAACAAACTAATTATACCAAGCTATTTCATTTGTTTTGTTAGTTCTGAATACAAGTTCCAAAAATGCAGAGTGAAAGGAAAGTGAATTTATTATCATTGCAGGAAACTCTTTAATTTACTTGAAATATTTTTTTACATGACTATTGAATAAAATCAAATTAGTATATTAACTCCTTAATTAAGTCTGAAGACTCTTTAGTCCCAGGAGGCTTACAGATACTAGATGCTGCTGCTAGCAGTCCCTGCTGGCTTGCAGTGCTGCTGCTTTGAACTGTGAGGGATAGGTTTATGCTTGTTGCAATAAACTGTTTTGTGCAATTTCTCTCTTGCCCTGATAGAACATATTTTGGTAAATATGCAGCAGAAGTGTTTCAGTTAAATTCCTATCTAATGGAAAGACTACATAAAACTTAAGCTTTGCTGAAGTCTTATGAAAAAGAAAATGTGGAATTATAATACTTCTAAAATCAAAGTAATTATGTACCAAAGTTGCAGTATCTTATTCCTGTAATTCCCAGCGTTGTGCAAATCTGGCACCTCTGTTAGGAATAAAAAATTATGAACTTTGAATTACGTAAAATGCTAAGTTTTGTCATCATCTTAACTTTGGTGTTTTTTTTCGAGATTAATTACTTTTCAGTAGCATTGCAGAGATGATTCAGAGGATTATTTGGAAACCCATCATCACCTCCTATGAGGCAGGTGCTAGAGGGTTAGCACCTCTAAGAAGTGCTGGAGAGGATCTCTGTAATTATTATTATAAGAGATGCTATAGATAGCTCAGACTTGAAGTTCCAGCAAGCTTTGCAAATAAGCAAGGATTCAAACCCTTTATTTTCAAAACAATACAGCACTTTTGTTCTGAGGATGTCACTAACCTTGTCAAATCTTGATTAGAGTAGCTGTGGTTTAGAAATTTTATTAGAAAAGTCTGTTTATATTCTAGAGACCAGATTACATCTACCGAGAAGAATTATTACAGAATTCTAAACTATTATTGCAGTTACTCCCCTTTCAAAAGAGTGTAAAGTTAGGAATAAGTAATAAAAAGATCATATCTTACCTTTGAAATGTAAAATAGCTGGATAGTAGAAAGTGTTGAAGGACTGAAGGGTAAAAAGCCAGTATTAGGAATACTGAGGGAATGAACTGCAATTTGCAATATGAAGGGTGAGGTGACCATAATAAGACAGAAGAACTTCCAAGCACTGATGGAACAGGCTAAAAAGTAATCTGCTTTTTCACTGGAGTTGTTCATAAAAAATAAGACTAAGTTCTTTTTTGTTGTAATTAGTAGTTTTGGATGTTTTACTCTGTCTTATATTTATGTGGCTGTTGCAATCAGTATTTCCCCCTGTTTTAGGTATAATTTTGCTTAATAAATAAGTAAATAAGGTTTAATGTCTTCCACTCCATATTAAAATTCAATTTTTTTTTTTAATCATGCCAAAAGAGCAGTTGTGCTAGTTTAATATGCCTCATTTCTTTGGAAATAGTAGTATAGCAGGGTATTATGAGCTCAGAAGTCTTCTATTTCAGTGGGCTTTGAGATCCAGCATTATATTTTATGCTGGAGGGTCAGGAAACAAATAGTAGCGTTGTTTGGTTTTGATACCAACATGAACAGATCACAAGTCTGCAGTAATTGTCTGTTTATTTCAACATCCTCCTTTACGATGTGGGAAGCTCCAGGTGTCCCTGCTTCCCGTCCCCTTTCATCCAGCCTGGTGGACGGAGGGACAAATGCTGTAACTGTCCATGTCCTTAGCCTGCCCACACTTGTATTCTGATATTTAAAATCGGAATAGGTCCTCTGTCAAGGTAAGCACTTCATTTACCTCTTTTTGCTTTCATTAAGAGCAGTTAACATGTGGAAGACAGTGACAAATACTCTGTCCTTTCCTGCCCAAGAGAAAATTGCATAATCCAGCTGGACTGATGAGGTTGTATTGGTACTACTACTGAAATGTGTCTATTCTTTATGCATATATGGACAGTTTATTTTAGCTGTTGTCACATAATCTAAACTAGTTCAACTTTTTCAGTGTTTTGTTTCCTTACTAATAAAATATAACTGACCATATCTAAAGTGCTTCTTATGCTAACATCTGATGTGGTTTTTAGGAGTTATGGGAAACTCGTTTGGCAGTAATTAACAAAGCAGCTTTGAAATTGTTTTATCTTTTAGAAGGGTGAAATCTTACAGCAGACTGGATCCATGATTTGAGACTGTTTCAAATAGTTTGATATTTGCTTTTGATAGTAATTAATTTGATCTTTGCTTTACAGCTGTTTTTCCTCTTGTTTCTCAATTAAGTACGAAGAAAAGCAGAAGTTTTTTCTTGACCTGAGGTTATAAGAGAGATGAGTAAGATGCAGAGTATTTTTAGTGCGTTGTTATATATTTTTCTCTTAAATGTTTTCCACAGCTTGCACTGAAGGACCCTGTACACACTGTGTCATTGCAGCAGTTCGTCTATGAGAAGCTTGCAGGAATTGCTGGGAGAGCAAGGTTTTCAGGCACTTATGGAAACCGTGGATACAGAAATAGTTGCACAGCTACAAGAATTTTTACAAGGGTTCTAAATAAGCAGAAACAAGTTTTTGTATGTCCAATTTCCCTTTCAAAACAATACAAAAGAACTCTAGGCTTCCATCTTGTATGGAAGAACCTACTGAAAGCTGAAAATAACTTGTGTTTAAAAAAAATAAATGTTTCTGTTGTTGCTATTAAACTAGCTTTGGTAATGCTTTATTTTTTAATATATACTATGGGTTTTTATCATCAAAGTAACACTTCTATGATTCCTTACATAGTATATGCTGTCCTAGATAGTAATGGTACCAAAAAAAATGGTAGTGGCTTTTTGGTTCACAAAGCTATGTCTTAAACTGAGAGATCTGAAGGAACTTGGTAATGTATATTAATGAGAAGTGTCTATTAATCCTGCAATATAATTCAGTATCAGGACCTGCTTGTCTTGCTATTGTATGCCTATAACTTTCTTCCCTTCCTATTACCATTTCTTGACTGTACTTTTCAACCATACAAGCGGAGAGAGTTAGAAAAGGAGTAAGACTGTATGCAGATATATTCCTTCACTAGAAAGAGAGAATTCCTGTTTGAATTGTCTCAGATAAAAAGAAACTTGGATTGTAATGCTTAAATTGCATTTGAAGAGGTGTTAGAGAATATCAGTGAGTATCTGTACCTGAAGATGTGGGGTTTCATTTTTAATTTCTTTATTTCTATTGTGAAAATTTTCTGGCTTTTTTGAGTTCCTTCTGTCTCACTTTTAGCTGTCATAACGCAGAGAAACTCACCAGAGACAGATGAGTAATTCCAATTAATTATTGGCTGTACCTGGACTACTTAAAATTGCTGTTGTTCAGTATCTCTATTCTTTGCTTTTTTTTCATCAAAGGCATATCATCAGGGTACTTCATAATTGTTACTGAAAAGTTTTAGACCAGATGGTCACAACTGAAATAATTATTTGCAAACATGAGGCTCACTTTGAGTTTTAATTATTCATTAGTTACCTGGACAGCTGCAGAAATGACAGGGTAAAACTGCTCTTTTCTATGTGCCTTTGTCTTTCATACCTTGCAGTAGGAGAGAAGCTTCTTTTCCATTTTGAGATTTTCCTTTTAAGTTCTGATCTTCTGCCTTCACAGTGGAACTTTGTTTGCTTCACTACGGGATGATTAAGCTACTAAGACAGATATTATTCTCTTTTCCAGAGGGGATTACCTGTTTAAAGACACCTACATGCTTTTTATAATCTTACCAGATAACCAGATGCTTGTGAAATCTGAGCCTTTTTCCTTACTGACCCTTTGGGGAGTGATTTGGTTTTGAAACCTTCCTTCTGTTTGCAGAGGAAGTGTGACTGTGCCTTCCTCCTTTGGCTTCAGTGGCAGAGGCTGCTGGGGCGCTTGCACCTCTTAATTCAAAATCTCCCCTGTATCCAGCAGCCAGCATCTATCTGCAGAAGTTGTTTGATAACTCATCGTTTCCTGCTTTTTACCTTGGCATACAGAGCTTTGATGGAAGAATTGTTGCAATTTGTATGATCTGCCTGTCATTTCCTCAATCATCCACAAACATCAGTTCTCAGAATTAGGAGTTTTGGCTGGTTACCTTTGCTGCTTACAAGGGAAGGGGCTCAGTGTGCTAATGGTCCCTCGAGCTGTGAACTACATTTGCCAGAACCTGGCGGCATTTGACTGAAATTGCATTTGTTGCAGAGTTAATCTGCAGATACACTCAGCTTTTACCTCAGTGTTACACCAGCACAGATCTGGTCAGCCTCACTAGCTTTGACCCTGCATGGCGTGACTGCATGGTGTACAGAAAAACCTCAGGTGGGGAAGCAATACTTTTCTATCACTTTTTATCAAGTTGGTAAAGTCACTCGTGCAGTGCCAAATGGTGCTCCCTGACGTTTCAGAGGGAGGGAGGACCTGCCTACTGAGGTCCAGCCCTGGCCAAAAGGCTGGTCTCTGCATTTCTGCTGCATGGCTGAGCCTCCAAGCTCTGCATGCAGCATCTTGCACCCAGGTCAAACTTAGCGTGACTGCTTGCAGCTGAGCCAGATCTGCCTGCCTGCATCATTCTCCGAGATATTCAAGCCCCTGTTACCTCACATGCCGGAGTGTTAATTGCAATTTATTTTAGTGCATGGTAACTAATGTTGGCACAGGCTCTGTCAGGAGTGATGGACATACTTTTAGCTTATAATGGCACGATAACATTGTGATTAACATTCTGAGTAATGTTTCTGAATAAGTGTGTGTATTCATTTTCAGATGCATTAGGGAACAAGTTAAATTTGTCACTAGGTGTTTAGCTTTTCATCTTGGAAGGTTTTACTCAAAGGCCTGAACTATAAATGAAAACAGTTACCATCACCATGAGTGCTTATATGACAACCACTGTCAGCACACTGCAAAACAAGTGCCTGTCTGTGCTCAGCAGTGGTCTAGTACTGAGAAAGTGGAGAAATTTCAGCTTAAAACAGCAGGAAAAACTCATAATATCCTTGTATATTAAATTCTTATATATGGGATTAAATTTTAACTGGAAGGTTGTGGATTAGGACTGGAGCAAGCTTTAGCCCTTTTTGTTGTTGAAGTTTCTGACTTTAGTCTCTTTGAAGAAGGGAAACCGAATACAACAAATTGCCTGACACTGAAGCAGTAAAATATAGTTTCTGAAATTCTTGTGAGGAAGGATCTTTGATCCTGTTGCCCTTTGAGTTTTGTTTTTCAAGGCAAAAAATAATTTAAATCAGGATATTTTTTTCCCTTTTTTTCCCTACACCTGAGGCTTACAAATTTTATCAGTTTACCTTTCAGAAGAGGCAATGACTGTGTTGAAGATGAACTTTTTCTGTCTCTGATAAGAGTTAAATGTCTTTGAAGGTATGTGCTGAAAGAAACTGAGAGGACTAATACTGATGCTTCTGTCTTCAAAAAATTAGCTTCGGTGTATCAATGAAATGAACATTTTTACCCTTAGGCCTAACTGAAGTGTTAATAGCCCACCTAAATTCATTGCATTTTGTTAAACTTTTTTTCAGCTTCTAAAGGTAATTTTATCCACTCTGTAATTTAATCCTATCAGATAGTCCAGGTGTTTGTCTCACAAAACAATTACTGGAATAATTTTACTTCTACAAATGCTTTGAAGTTAGATTCTTGAAGTATGATAGATAACCTTAAGTACGATAACCTGAAGTATGATAGGTAAACTTAAGTATGTTAAAGCTCTAGATTTACAAAGTAAAAAGAAAAAATATGTATAGGTGTGTGTATAAAATGTGCGTGTAGATAGATGTATATTGTGTGTCCCTGGGGCCAGGAGGTAACAAGCACTTGTGCTTCACCATGAATGCCTGGTTCCATTGGGGCCAGTTGCATCGCTGCGCAGGTGGCAAGGCCTGCTGGCACCACTGCCGCGGGGCTGCTCCCGTGTCCCGCCGCTCTGCTGAGGCAGACTAACACTGCTGCCATACTCGCGGCGGGCAGGGGAAGTGGTCTTGGGCTGTTTCACGGTGTTCCCTGCCTTGCCAGAAGGAAGGCTGTGGCCTCCTAGCTTCGCTTTGGTGAAGTGAGAGAGGGTTTTTTGCGTCATTTGTGAACAAGTCCGAGGGCCAGGGCGTTTCCCCATAACCTCCACCACCGTGGTGGACTGGGAGGGTGCAGGGAGAGTGCACAGCATGGCAGGTGCCTGTAGATGCTGCAATGCTGCACGCCATCCCAGCAGCCCCTTTGGGCGAAGCCATTGGAGAAAAGCCTGCTTCTTGTCAGGTAAGCGAGTGCTCGCGGTGTCCCTGACGGATGGCAGGAGAGGTCCCTGACGGCCATGACTTGATTGAGAAGGGGTTCGGTGGGAGAGCTGTTGCAGTTGCTCTGCAAGTTGCACTATCTAAGCTAATAGTGCCCTGAAGAAAAGGATGTTACAGCACTAAGATTTCATCCTTCGTCTTGTGAAGTTGTCTGTTTTCCAAGGTTTGAACCACAATTTTTGTTTGAAAAGGGACCACCGTATAGTGTTTACTCCTTAGCAAAGCTGCTCATAAAGATCCTCTTTGATTTCTTACTGGTCACAACGGGTGTTCAGACATCTTCTCCCGGGGTACCAGGAGTGATGGCCAAAGTCCTAAGCAGAGTCACAGCTTGTAACTGCAAATTGCAACAGATGGGCTCACTTCTTTGATGGTACAGCAATGATAAAACCACTTCTATAGATTGTATTAACTCAGACATGCTATCGGATTTACAGTCAATATCAGTCAGCAATGTTTAGTATGCTTGACTTTTTAAAAAATTCTTATTTAGTTCCAAATTCTTGTGATGCTTCTAAATTGAAGGTCATGGTGTTCTTCGAAGTGCTGAACATGCCACATCTTCACTTAGCAAAAGCAACACCTTTGTAATAAAGGTACACATTTTGAAGGCTTTCCAAACTCATTTACTTGTCTTGCTTCAATGCTGCTGCTTCAAAAAATAAAAATTGCTAATTTTAAAATGTTCACAATTTCCATCATACTGCTAGCTATGATTAATAATGATGACTAATCAACACATAATCAGATTTGACTGGTTCTGTAGAAACATTTCATAAGATACAATAGCTTGTTCTTACCAGATTTTGCTGACTCTTAGGGAAAATGAAATTGACTGGAGTCAACCCCCTTTAAAAATTTATTGGGGGTTCATAAGGAGTGCTTAAAAATGTTACATCCCTTCTTCTCCACACTGGCTAGGCACCATTTTGTTAGGCTGAGTGCGTACTACTGCACTGACTAGTACATACTACTTGCTTAAAAATATTGATCATGAAAGAATTGTGTTCGTGTTTACACAAAATGGGTGATCTGTTTCCAAAGAGTGGTCTAAAATGAAGTGAAAAAGAGCAAAAGTGAATTTGCTGCAAACAAGCAAATTCCCCTACCAATATGTAAATGTAAGTAAAGCATGTCCCTTAAAAGTTGATTATACAAAATAAAATCACATCCCACATCAAGGTACATGTCAACTCTGAAGTCAGCCATGGCTGTGGGCAGGTGGCAAATCAT